GCCGCCGGCGTCGACGGTCCGATGTCCCCCACCGCCCACCAACTGGAACAGCTGGAAGGCGGTGGCAGCGGCGGCGGCGGCGGCGGCGGCCGCTACCGCGGCCGCAGCGCCGCTGCCGCGGCGCTGACACCGGCGGCGCCGGGTGCCGATGCCGCCGCCGCGTCAGCAGCCTCCCTGGAGGCTGCTGCGGAGGCTGCTGCAGCTCGCCTGGCGGAGTGCGGTGGTGATGGTGGTGGTGGAGCTGAGGAATGCGCTGCTCTCGACCGGGCCTTTGTTGAGTGGGCTGAGAGCCGTGCAGGTCGGGACCTGGTGGCGGCGGAGCTGAGGTCCATGAGGCGGAGTGTGGCGGCGGATATGGTCACGCAGGTGGGGGGGAGGGGAGGGGAGGGTCGGTGCATGGTGGTGTGCGGTTGGTTCCGCCTGCCATTGTTGCTGCTAGGGGGGGTTCTTGTTGTTGTTGTTGTTCTTGTTGTTGTTGTGGTGGTGGTGGAGGTGGTGGTGGAGGAGGTGGAGGTGGTGGTGGAGGAGGTGGAGGTGGAGGTGGTGATTGCGATGTTGTTCCAAGACCCCCCAGGTATCACATCCCTCCGACATCCCTCCGCAAGTCTCTGGATAGTCTCAGTCGTCTAAATCCTGGATGTCCTCGCCGAAGTGTGTTTTGTCCTCACACGACATGCATACATACACATTTATTAGCACATACTCGTGCTCATACACACGGCCCGGGGCCCCCCGCACCTGCACACAGGTTCTGGGCACCGAGGACGGCAAGGACGGGCTGCTCCACGCGCTGCAGGCGGCCTGTCTGCGGGACGTCACTCTGGCCATGCAGTTGAGGTTGCTGCTTCAGTCCTTGGCTGGGGGCGGCGGCGGCGGCGGCGGCGCTGGCGGCGGCAGTGGTGGTGTCCTGCAGCAGGCGATCGGCCACACCTACCCGCACACGCTCTTTGGCTCCCACCTTGGCTGTTAACGCCCCTTGCTAATGCCCCTCTGAGGCCCCTCTCGCGCTCCCCCCCCTCCCCTCCCTCCAATTAGCTTAGCGCTCCCCCCCTCCCCTCCCTCCAATTAGCTTAGCGCTCCCCCCCTTGGAGCCCATGTCTTCGCTTTCACGTGCCGAGCTTTTGAAGGGTAGAGGTAGAGGTGGAGGTGGAGGAGGAGGAGGTGGAGGAGGTGGTGGAGGAGGAGGTGGAGGAGGTGGTGGAGGTGGAAGTGGAGGAGGTGGTGGAGGTGGAAGTGGTCGAGGTGGAGGTGGAGGTGGAGGAGGATCGATATGGCGCGGAGTGGCGTGGTAGTGGGTAGTGGTTACCTAGGTGATGGTACACGAGAGACCAGAGAGATAGTCCGTTGGGGAAGAGGGAGAGAAGAGTGTGGGGAAAGAAATTTAATCGCGCCGGTTACCAAGAGCTTCTTGAAAGGATTCCAAGCTTCGTTTGTCTGTCTGTCTGTCTGTCTGTTTCTTCCTTTTTGATCCGAATATGTAAGCAGCAACCAGATTGCGCAACACACATGTTCTGAGAAGAAGCACCTGTTTTGGATGTTCTGAACTGCCGAGAAGCCCTCATGCTTCCGCGTCTGCGTCTGCGTGTATGTTGTATGTTGTTACAGGGTGGTTAACTTCGCCAGCGGCCCCCTTTCCCGGGGCAGTCCCTGCTCTCCCCTGCTAGAGGGGCACCCTAATCCGTCACCCCATCCGACTTCAGAATGTATTCGTTGGGTTCGGCAACTCACCACCAGCATCCAACCAAATCTAGCGGATCAACGGCGCATCAACTTAGTTCCTGGTCAGCTCGCAAGTTGATATTATCACGTCCTACACCGTCCATATGATGGGGGGCCACCTCCCATTTCATCACTCCTCAAACACCCGAGGAGCTGGCAGGCGGATTTGAACCCGGGTCGACTGGATCGACTGGGAGCAGAAATCAGGCCTTAACTTCTGCCAGCCGCCTGCCTGCGTGTATGTATGTGCGTATCAGTTCCGTCGTCCGTCTGGAGGATGTCCCCAGAAGGCCGCCGGGGGGAAAGGAAGGCCGGGGGAGAGGGAGGCAGGCAGGAAGTTCTTCGTGTACGTTGCCCTGTGGGATCTCCCCCCCACACACTGGCGAATGTGCGCTTTCTCTCTCTCTCTCTCTCTCTCTCTCTCTCTCTCTCTCTCTCTCTCTCTCTCTCTCTCTCTCTCTCTGTGTGTGTGTGGGGGGGAGGGAGCGGATGATGGAGCCGTTGTGTGCGGTGGTGCGGATGACGGCCAAGACCTGGTCTAGGTACAGCAGCGGCAGGGTGGGGGGTTTCTCTTTCTGTTTCTGTAGTAGCGCTCTACTTTTTTTATAAGTGTTGTTTGTAAATCGCCCCTCTAATTTGTGTCGGAAGCACTGGGGCAGCTTGTTTTGTGAAGATTGGGGTTCTTTTTTCTGGACGGATAAGTTGCTGTTCGTGTTGTTTCGCTCGGCGGTTGTTAGTTCGAGCACTCCAGCTTGGTCGGCTAGTCGGAAGAAGAATCCGGTTGATAGTTGAGATTGTCATTGTAAGTGCCCGAGAGGTTTATGAGAGATGGGCTAGAGCGGAGAAGGCGGAGAGAGAGAGGAGAGAAGGGGGGAGATCGTCAGCTGCTGAGGGGGCCCGGAGCTCCCGTCAATTATTGTAACTTCTTCGGTTGTGCTGCTCGCAGAAAAGGTTCAAGCGTCCTGCGCAAGAAAGCACCTTGCGCGTTTTTCAAGGGCCCGTCCATTAGGCGGTCCAATATCTATTCACCTCACAGGAGGAGCTAAAAGACGCTAAGTGGGCTTTAAGATTAAGAAAATACGGATTTTACCCTAAGTTCCTTTGCAACACTCCACTTTGACGCGCTTTTTCCATTGCAAACCACGCAAAAATACCTTCCATGCGTTGCGCTCAAGGAATCGCACGAATGAACCTAACTAGTCCGTCGCTGCCCACAAGTCCCCGCAACGCCAACACTACGAAGGGGTCCTCCCAGTGCTTGACGCAAAGCATGCGGGTTATATGCTTCTGGGTCTGTGCTGATCCAGGAGGCCCCTTCCGGGCCTAAGAGCTGGTTTAGCAATTTAAATTTTGCACCAGGTGTTAATGTCTTCTGCTAAACACGCTTCTGATTCAATTGTGTGAGACTAATTAAACATTAGTATAGGCACATAGCATAATATCACCGCTTCACCCTGTTACAAGGTAGGTAATACAGCTCTGCGACCCATCCTCATGACTTTACTGTTGTCCGTTAGTTTAAAGATCCAATCCTTGATATTGCAAGTACCGTTGTTAAATTCATCGTTTCCCTTGCAGCAAATCTTGGGCGTTGGCTCATGGCTGTGTAACGACATCAAAATCCACACGAGAGTGGAATTAACTGCGCTCAACGAATAACTGTCCATGGTTGAACCCTCGCGCAGCCGGTCTTGCGCTTGAGCTGCCATGGGGCCATGATTTTATACATACTATGAGAATCACTCTGTGAAAATTTTTGTTTTGCTCCGAATGGCAACAGCTATGGGCCTACTTTAGGAGTTGTCTCTCAAGAGGTTTACCGCTACCCTTGCCAGCTACTTTTGCAAGCTTATCAACTTCTTGTGTTCTAATTTTATATAAAATCATATATCCATGACGGATTACTGGAATCTTGATGCGGCCCTGGCTGAGGAGACTATCGTTCCCGCTCGGTATAGTTTTGGTGCTGCGGGCGTGGCCCAGGTACTTGAGCCTGGTTCGTCCAGTAATGATGTACAGGCTGGCGACAAGGTCGACACACCGTTGTGGCTGGCAGCCGCGCTGACGCGCAGGGGCATGGCTACGATAAGCCTACCTGAAGTCTACCAAGAACGCTATCGCCGTCGACTCAACGCCGGCGCAGAGTGCTTTAATTTAAAGGGGCGGTGCCCCTACTTCTACGACGTGGGCAACAAATGCAACGACTTTCTGCAGGACGTGTCGCTTTCGGCGTTCTTGTCACGGACGTACGCAACGCGCTATCGGGAGCTTGTGTCAAAGGGCCTTAGTACCATATCGGGGGAGGACATGCTAGAGCTGCAGAGTAAGCTGTCGTTAGAGGAGCTCGCCGTGTTTGAGGCAGGCAGGGACGCTGTGGCGCGAGCGGAGACATGGGCACGCGGTGCACGGCCACGGTTGGCAGTCATGACGTCGCGGAAACGGAGTGCGCGGGGTTTGCTCCCAGAACAGCCGGAACCGCGGCAGCGCGTGGAAGGGTTTTAGCCAGAGGAGAGCATTCTTGTGAACGCGCTTGCTTGTTGTATGCTTGCGCTCGTCCTGGTCCGGTCAGCTGCATTGTCGCGGCAGCATTGTCGCGTCAGATCATGCCTATGTCTTCTTCAGGACACGGAGTTGCTTCGGGGGTCACGGCTTACAACACCCTTGGGGTTGCGAAGCATTGGAGCGCTGCCGGCTGGCAGGGTTTAGATAGGAGTGTTGACACCGACATATGCTGTTGACGCATTCGGAAGTCTGCGCGAATACAGTTGGACCCCGCTTGGACCCCGCGTTTTCCATTTTATCTAGCGGCACTCTCGTACTGGTCGTAGTAGCGGACCCCATTGGGTGCCCACCGCCACGATGTGCCCACCAACATCACCACCACCATCAGGGTGGCATTGTGTTTGCGGTGCTGCTATCAAGGAGTGCGGGGGAAAGAGGGCCCTTAAGTTGTGCCACCTAGAAACGTGGGAAACAGGCCTGGCTGTGGGCAGGATGGGATCCATGGGTACGAACGGCGTACGAACGGCGCTGTCATGGAAACGCCCGTGTGCCCGGACAGTCCTATGGCGGTATCGCCAGGTGGTGGCACGGTGGTTTACGGCGGGGGGGGGCAGACAACTGCCGCGGGTGCCGCTGATGGCTGATGGCGGCCGCGACATGGTCTGTATTCCCTCCGGCAGCACGACTGTTAATGCAATGCAAACTGTGGGAGGATTCCTCGCGCGCGTAAGGGGGGTAAAGGAGGGAAAGGAGGGCGGAGTTCCTGTTGTCGCATCGCTGTGTTCGGCAGAGCTGGATTGAGACTGCGTCCATGCAGTTGGGGTCGCGCTTGATTAGCGCAATGAGCAGGCAGGACAGATAGTGATTGAGCTTCGGGTTTCCCCCGCAGCAAGGTGCGCATGGGAGCCGAAGGCACGCGGGTTTGTGCGGGCCCCCACTGCTTGTCACTCTCTCGTGCAGCACGTCTTCGTCCTCGTCTACTGCTTCCCAGCTATTAGGGGGCAATGCCTAATGCGGGTCTTGAACCTGTCATGTGGCGAAGTGGGTCTCCTGCGGTTCAAGAAGTTCGCTGAACAATTCACCGGGGGGGTAGTAGCAAAACAATTGCTGAGTAAGCTTGTGGGGTGGTGAGAAATGGACAAAACCTGAGTGCTCACGGAGGCCGACTGCTATTTGATTTTGTGTTACGGAGTGCGAGGCTTCATCTGGGGCCATTGTGTGCATTAGGACACTCTGCTATTTGAAATGGGTGTCACCTGGTAACGAGTCAACAGGCACCTTTCTATCTATCGGTCGATCTATCAGCCAAAGAATGATGTCTTGGCGTCAAACGTCCGTTCGCGTCAAACGTGCGGAGGACCTTTCAGTTGCAAAAGTGTTGTAACGGTCGTACGTCGCTTAGGCCTACCGCAAATATAACCGGAGCCGCGCCGCAAGTCAGACACACAACACATCGCTCTGGTACAGCGTTCAAAGCGTTCAGCGCTCCTACCAGAATCACCCAACAGCAACTGAAACCGTTGGAACGCGTACATCAAGTAACCTAACCCAACAATCAACCGACAGTCCTCAATTCCTTTAGGAAGGCTTTCATCCTTCATCTCGAATTTCCCAAGCGTTTTGCGTTTCGTCTTTCTCGTCTTCCACTTCCGCGTCTCATCGTCGAACATCTCCCCCCAGGCATTAGTAGCCAATCATGGATCGCAACCAGCGCGTCGCCAACAGCCGCCCGGCCCGCCCTGGCCTCCTTCTGGTCCTGATGGCCCTGGTGGCATTTGCGCTGGTCATTACGCCCCTCCCTGCACGTGCCGAGAACGTCCCCCGCTACGACATGTCCGCCGCCCTCGGATCCCGGGGGGGTTTCGGAGGCATGAGGGGCGGCTCAGCTGGAGGCGCAGGCTCTAGCCCCTTCCTCGGAGGCATGATGCGCAGCGGCATGGGTGGCGGCGGCATGGGTGGCGGCGCCGCTGCCACGGCCCTGCGAGGTGGCGCTGGCCGCATGGGACTGATGAGCGGCGGCCGGCGCATGCTGGCTGTCATTAGAAACGAGGCCTAGATCTCCTATACATGTACGACCACCTTCCTGACTTGTTTTTGTGTCGAGGAACTGTGCGTACGTACGGGGTCGTAGGTATACGTGTATGTATGTCTTCAGGTGCTTTCTCAGACCAGGTTCAGGTGAGGTGAGGTGAGGTGGCCTGAACGAGACAGGTGGGGCGACTTGGGGGTTGTTTCCGGAGCAATTTAGCTGTCCCCACATCCTCGGTTGCAAGTGCGATGCCTCGAAGCCCCACATCCGCATTGTCCAGTGTTCTGTTTATATCTGTCTGTCTGAGATGGCCGCACCCATCCTTAGCCCCACGGAGCGTGTCTCACACAGGCCGGGGATGCGAAATGTGTGCAACCATATCCTTTGCACCACCCTTCGCACCGGGACTGTCCGCCTCCACCGCCTGCTTCAACAGGGCCTCCTGCTGCATCCCAATTGGCCCTTTTTGCAAAGCCGCTATCCCGCTCCTTTCTAATCCTCCCCTTCCCCTGCCCGCAGGTTCACGACGTCTGCAACGCCCCGTCCTCGCCAGAAGATGTCGCTGCGGAGTGAAGACGCGGTGATTGCTTTCGACATTGCTTTCGGACCAGCTGTAACATTTCTCAATGCTGCGTACGTGCTTATGTAGGGCACCTGTGTGGGGTAGCGGTAAAATGAGAGTTTTGAAAGTGTGGCGGCGTTGGTTGCACTGGTTGCGGTGGGTGGTGGGTGGCTACGTGTGTGTGCAGCGCGACAGCACGGGGTTAGTGTTTGCTGCTTGGGTGTCTTCCTGTTCGTTTTGCTTGTTTCGCTAAAGGCGGCTGCGGCCACAGTCCAGGTGGTCCAGTCCCGTCCTTTTTATTTTCGATAGCGAAGGTCCCGCTGCTGCTGCTGCTGGAACTGTCTACTTTGCTGTTCGGATACATTGGCGAGGGGGATATGCGGATGGGTCCAGCGGCTGTGGGTGTTAAAAGTGAATTGAGGTCTTGGCTGCGCCTGGCATTCAGGGTGGTATGAAACCTTGTAAATCAGAGGCTTTCGTATAAGGACGTCAAGGCCTGGCGTGATATCGGTTAAGCAGGGGATTATGCGCTAAGGCACATCGTATGTAACTTGGTTTCATTGCCAAACCTTTCCCTAGTGAGCAAGAGTGGATCATGGCGTTCATGTGTCCTGCTGTACAGGCTGGATCCCAAGGTTTTCCCTTACACAGTTCAGCGCACATCAGGAAGGCAATCCACCAAAACGACATGTGCTACTTCAGCCAAAGTAATTCACATTTTCCATCACTGTGGAAAATGTGACATTTTCCAGTCTTCCGACCGTGTGCGTGACCATGGCATTTTAGTATATAATAAAATATTATTACGGTTAACGGGATGTATATCATCTGGGTGGGCATGCTTCATATCGACAGCGGTCTCGCGTAAGGGAGGACCAAATCCGAGTACAGACAGATGTCGCCAAGGCGGCTGCAGACAGGTGGAAATCAAATGGGGAATCAAACGGTGCGAGTGGCGTGAAGCCAGCTACGCGAACAAGGGGTGTACATTTTAATTTCGCATTTGCATTCTGCGCGGGTCGGTGCTCAGAGTTGCCTGACTTTGGTCTGACAAGGACGTAACCTGCGGACTTGTCCACGGGCCCTCAGCACGCTCGCCAAAACATTGATGTGGCGCCACCTAGACATGGCTGCTGTCCATGCTAATATTCAATGACACTGCGCACTTGCAGGCAGGGCCAGTGGCTCCAGCCATTCATGGCTATGTTACCTTTCGGCAACCCCTTCGATGCCTCCGAGAGAGAGTTCACAGACGCTAGTATGTATAACTGAAATCAAACCTTGCAAGTATAGGAGACAACGGCTTGGTTCATCTACTGAATACCTTTGCGGGAAATGCGATTGCGGGAAGCCTTACTTGGAAAGGAGCTGCCCGTTGGTAACATGCCGCACAGGGATGTTGTGAGCCTACGTTTAAAAGGACGATGGATTCATCCCCAAACAGAGCGCAGCTATCCCCGTGGAGGACCGGGTAGGGCAGCGCGGAGAACGCAGCTAAAACATGTGGTCCAGGACCAAGCAGATCACCAATCACAAAATTAAGCGCTGCAAGAGTTGCCTTTATGCTTTCCCATCTCCCTGGAATGGTAACTTTGTCTCTCCAACAATCAATCAATCAACATACATCTACTTCGGCTTAATGAACTAAGAGAAAATTTCAATTTCATACTGTGCCAGCATACCGGCTTGAATTTTCAACAGGTCGTTCGAGGGCTGATAATGCAGTGTACACCGGAGGAAAGCGGTTGCTCGTCCGGTTCTGGAGCGCTTAATCAGCCGAGCGACACGAAATGCTTCAGGAAGTCCACCCAATGAATCAGAGAGGTCGCGACAGGTGGTCAGCGTTTTGCCAATTTGTATAGCCCGATGTTGCTCTCCGGTCGCGTTGCCCAGCCAAAGGCGTGTGGGCATGCTAGCAACAACCCACGCCGCCGGCCAGTTCCATTTCAATCATATCATCAGGCGAATCGAATTGTGAAAGTTCGGGCACAGGATGATGAGGTGAGGCCGTTGGCTCAGGAGCAACATGACCAGCCTACGCCCCAGGACCTGGCTAACGTTTAATATCTCGCTTGACTCTGAAGCCAATCATGGGCAAGTCAATTGACGCGGCTGGCGCTGGTGCAAGCTTCACAAGCCCTGGATGGTTGACGCAGCTCAACATGCTATGGGGCGGCAAGGGCGTAAGTAGCATCATGTTTTACCTCACGGATTTCGGCGTGCTTTTTGGAAGCCCGCTTTAAAAAGTGCATTGGTCGCACATTCATCTGCCGCACTCCTGCTCTCGTACGGCAGTGCCTCCAGGGTTTCCATCACCCCGCTCCAAAACACTGCTCATCTTTCAAGTTCTTGTGCCACCTAACCGTCCCCATTTTCCACCGTAGCAAACACGTCTGGCAGCACGGGTCACTGCAGCTGTGACTTTCCGACCTTCAAACCTCCCTCCTAACCATCTTCCCCTCTTTGCATGCGCCCGCCACCAATCCTCGCAATTCGCCCGTCGCCCCGGAGTCTCCAACTCCAACAAGGCTTGGTCAAAACCCTTCCGTTTCCTTTTGCATTCATATCCCGTATATCCCCCCATATGAAATCTCCCCATTTGCCCTCCCCTTTGTAATCCTCCAAACCACAGAACGTGCCAGTTGCCAACGCCCAGCCTGACGACATCAAGGAGCTGCTGGGCGGGGCCCTGTTCAAGGCGCTGTACAAGTGGATGCAGGAAAGCGGGCCCGTGTACCTGCTGCCCACAGGTGGGTTGAGCGTGTGTGTGTATGTGTGTATGTATGTATGTATGTGGGGGGGACGAATGGGGTTTTGAATGGGGGGGGAGGGGGGAGGGGAAAAGGTGCAGAGGGGGATAAACGGAAAGGCAAGGGGGAAGGGGGTATTTAGAGTAAAAGAAGTCGCCACGAGGGGGGAGGGCGGGTCAGTGGGGTTACACAGGAGATCGCAGGCTCAGGGTCCATCTGAACCTCCCGCCCCTTCCCCCCTTTGATGGTCCTCCACCCCCCTCTTGCCCACATACGGTACATACATACGTACATATGTACATACATACGTACATACATGCATACATACGCACATACATACGCACATACATACGCACACATGTATGTACGGCTTGCGTTGATCTTGTACGTTAGGCAGGCGGCTGGCAGAGGTTTAGGCCTGACTTCTGCTCCCGGCCGTCCCGGGTTCAAATCCGTCTGCCGGCTCCTCGGGTGTTTGAGGAGTGATGAAATGGGAGGTGGCCCCCCATCGTATGGACGATGTAGGACGTGATAAAATCAACTTGCGAGCTAACCAGGAACTAAGTTGATGCGCCGTTGATCCGCTAGATTTGGTTGGATGCTGGTGGTGAGTTGCCGAACCCAACGAATACATTCTGAAGTCGGATGGGGTGACGGATTAGGGTGCCCCTCTAGCAGGGGAGAGCAGGGACTGCCCGGGAAAGGGGCCGCTGGCGAAGTTAACCACCATGTAACAACATACATACATACATACATACATACATACATACATACATACATACATACATACATACATACATACATACATGCGCATGCAGGCCCCGTGTCCAGCTTCCTGGTTATCTCCGACCCAGCCGCCGCCAAGCACGTCCTCCGGGCCACCGACAACTCCCAGCGCAATATCTACAACAAGGGGCTGGTGGCGGAGGTGTCGCAGTTTCTGTTCGGGAAGGGATTTGCGGTGGCGGGAGGGGACGATTGGAAGGTCCGCCGTCGCGCTGTGGGTCCCTCGTTGCACAGGTGGGTGTGTACGTGTGTATGTATGTGCGTGTGTATGTGTGTATGCCTTTGTGTACGTGTTGGGGGTTTTGGGGGAACACCCCCTGTGAGGTTGGAGGGCATGTGGCGGGAGGTGTGTTGGTTGTGGTGCGGTTGTAGGCTGCGCGGGCTGAGCAAGTAGGTAGTAGCGCGTGGGTGGGGGAAACACAAACATGCGTTCCCGCGTCCCGACTCAGTGCTTGGTCTGCCTGTATGTATATATGCATGTATGTGTATTCATGCGTCCACGTAATCAACAATACGTTTCGCGACATGGTGCCGCCCTGCCGCTGCTGTTGCTGCTGCTGTACAGTCGTACACAGTACCGCAAATCCTCCCACCATGTTGCGATCCGGCCCCCAGCACACGCACCACCCAGCCCCCTCTCCCTCCCCCCTCCCCCTCCGCCCCCTCCCCCTCCCCCTCCGCCCCCTCCGCCCCCTCCCCCTCCCCCCCTTCCCCCCCCCCCAGGGCCTACTTGGAGGCCATGTTAGTCCGGGTGTTCGGCCCCTCGTCGGAGTTCGCTGCGGATAAGTTGCGTGTGGCGGCCAGGTCAGGAACCCCCGTCAACATGGAGGCCATGTTCTCACAGGTGGTGTGTGTGTGTGTGTGTGTATGTGTGTGTGTGTGTGTGTGTGTGTGTGTGTGTGTGTGTGTGTGTGTGAAAGACATTGGCAGGAGAGAAGGGAAAAAGTGTGGGGGGAAGCGCGTTGTGGTAGTGGCAGGGAGAGGGGCATCATCCCGCAATCATCTCTCGATCTTCTGCAGTTTATTTTTGAGTTTGCGGATGTTCCCCAGGCTGGCTGCCAGCCGCCTGCCGCTTTGTTGTCTTTTCATTGATGAGTCCCCTTCCCCCGCCTTGCGTTACATTAATACGGCCTACTCCCCTGCCCCCCCAATACACACACACACACACACACACGCACACACACACACACACACACACACAAACAGCTGACCCTGGACATCATAGGCAAGGCGGTTTTCAATTACGACTTCAACTCCCTGACCAGCGACTCGCCGCTGATCCAGGTAAGTGGGGAGGGCTGTACTCCTTGTCGTACAATACATGTAGTACGGATAGCACGTGCAATACATGCAGTACAGTGCAGTACATATAATGTTTACGTATATATGCAGTACGTACAGTACATTTAGTGCACACACAATACATGTAGTACGGATAGTACGGACAGCATCGGGTTGTGTTGTGTCCCACATTGGGATATGGGGGCGAGAAAACGGAGGCGTCGTCGTTTGGGGAGATTTTGTTGTCATGTGTTGTAGTTATATATGTGTCATCACCATGTCACCCGAACATCCGTATGAGAGACAGAGGGTTCAGCAATCGCCACCAATCCAGTGTGGTGCAAATCTCGGTCCATCAACTGTGACTTCTGACCCTCCACATCTGAGTAAGTAGCCATCTACAATGTCAGGGTCTACCCAGGAATCGAACCGAGAACCCTAAACCGCTAATTGCGGTGGTGGGTCCCGACAAGATATACATATGTGGTGTGTGCAGTGCACACCTCGAGATGTGGAATTGTCCTTCCGGGGCGGCGGACGAGTCTCTGAGGACGATTTTTCGTCCCTTTGGCATGGGCCGCACGTATACTTTAGTTGATGTGGAATCCTTCGTACGGTGTACGTCCCGTACATATTGCCGTACAGGCGGTCTATACGGCGCTTAAGGAGACGGAACAGCGCGCGACGGACTTGCTGCCGCTTTGGAAGGTGGGGGCTACCTTACACGCACCATGTGTGTGTTTGTATGTATGTATTTGCAAACGTGCTATGAAACGAGGGCTGAGAACTGATCGCGCGCATGGGGGTGGGTGAG